CAGTAGATCAGACAGGAGAAGGGGATCAAAATGGGACGAGGGAGGATGTGGGCCTAGTTTTGTGTCAAGTCTATCAAAAAGATTGGCTGTCATTGAACTACAGAACCTACTCACTCTGGTGGTCTTATGCAATGAGCGTATTTAGACCCATAATTCATTATATATGAGGTAAATTTGCTCTTATGCAATCAGCATAGATGCCCCCAACCCAAGCAGGTAAGTTTGTGAGGGGAGAGGAAAGGGCCGTGGCCCCACTCACCCCAGCCGGGACTGCAGTGGCCCTGGGAGCGGCCGGCACCAGCTGCCTGCAGCCACTGGGCTGCACCATGCTCTGCCTGTCCTCCTGCACCTGGGCTCACCCCAGCTCCTGGGCTGTGCCGTGCTGTGGTGCAGGTAGCTGGTGTCGGCTGCTTCCGGGGCCGCTCCAGCATGGGCTGGGGTGAGTGCGGACAAGCGGAGCCCCGGGCAGCGCAGGGCGCAGCATTCACCCCATCCCTGGTTCCAGCAGCCCCCGGAGCAGCTGACACCAGCTGCCTGCACCAGGGCATGGTGCAGCCCAGGAGCAGAGGTGAGTGGGGATAGGCAGAGCATGGTGCAGCCCAGCGGCTCCAGGCAGCTGGTGCCAGCCACTTCTGGGGCCTCTGCAGCCAGGGCTGGGGTGAGTGCCACTCTGTTCCCTCTGCTTTGCTGCCTTGTGCAGCTCCAGGAGTGGCACCCCTCCCCTTGCCCCTTCCCTAATCCCAGCCTCACTTCCTCCCTCCCTCCCTGCCATGGGAACCTATCCCTATTTGTTACATTGTAAAGTGGGTTCGCTTTGTGCAAATTTGATTTATGCACCATTCTCCGGGAATGCATGTACAGCATAAATCGAGGGAAACCTGTAAATTGGAAGTGTTCAGAGCAAGGTAATTCGCCACCTAAGAAACCTTCCTCATAGTATAAGACTAAAACATCCAAGTTATTTAACTGAACTAGAAGAAGATTCAGGAGTGACTTGATCACAATGCACAAGTGCCAACCCGTAGAGAATTTTTCTGCTGACTGAGGGCTTTTAGGACATTAATGTTTCAATCACCAGAAGCTGAGGCTAGATAAGTCAGACTGACGATAGGTACCTATTTTCCCAGTGAGGGTACTTACTGACTGAACTAATTTAAAAGTGTTTTTGTGGATTCTTGGTCTTCTGAGACTTGTATATCAATACTGGGGGGCTCTTCAAAAGATAGGCTGAAGCTGAGCTAGCAGTTACTGGTAGGTGCAGGAATTGCTGGAGGTATCCTATGGTCACTGGTATGAAAGTGATCAAACTAGGAGATTGTAAGGGCTCCTTCTCACCTGTGAAAAGTATTCCCTGAAAGGGAGCAGTCTTGTAGACTGAGCTGGCACAACATCATAAGAAAAAAGAGAGGCACAGAGGGTTGTCAAATCATCATAGATGCAATGTTTTACAGAAAGAAAGATTCCCTGAAGTTTTTTTGAAGGAGGCAAAGGGCTGGGAGTAGGTTTGGCATTGACTACTTGGATGGCTGTGTAAAACAAAATAGAATGCTACAGGTGCATTTTGAAAGAGGGTGAAAGAAATGAAGATATTGAATAGGGGAGGACATTGGCGGCATGGAGGGGGTGCATGCAGGAGCATGTGCTCTCCCTGAGATCGGCCATGCACCCCCTGAAAGTGCCAGCCATGAAATCGGAAGTGCTAGTGGAAGTGCAGTTCTGGTTTTACCGCTGGCTTGGTGATTGGCTGCTGGGGACCCCCCACCCCAGTGGTGATCTGGTGCCCCTCAGACTCAGGCACCAGTCACCCATGGGGGAGGAGTTTGGGATGAGCTGGAGGAAGAGGAATACAAAATCCAGAAGGACAGAAGCTGCAGCTGTAGCAAGAAAAAGCAACCCAAACATTGGCCAGAGTCTTTCAGAAAAGGTCAGGATGAATTTTGGAGATAGTGTAGTTGAAGGGTGGAAAAAGCCAGTTGTCTACTAAGGCAGACAAGGTTCTTTGCGTGAATATGATATCTTTTATTAGACCAACTTAAATAGTTAGGAAAAAAAAATTATAGCAAGCTTTCAGGTTCAAAAACCCTTCATCAGGCTGAGGAAGTCTGATAAATATGGTAACCAATAAATATGGTAATCACAGTGATTACATTTCTAAGGATAGGTGAGGGAAAGACCTTCATTTTGGTAGCCCTGCAGAAATATCATTATGTTAGGGTCACATAAGTGTACAGAGCACTTTACAGGCAGCTTAAAAAACAAGGTTCCTGTTCCCTAGATACCATGCTTTATGGAAGTAATTCTTAAACTTTTTGACTAAGAGCACCCCTCGTTCAACTTGAGGCACCCCTCATTAGACTTGAGGTATCTCTTGGAAAATGCCAATTCTTACTTTTCACTCATTTTTTGACAACAGAAAAAGAATAGAGGAATTATTTCCTTACTAAGAGCTAACAAAGACCGTAACAGATCAAGATGTTTTTAACACTATGGATTCCTATTTGAAATCTCTAGGTTTAGTCATGAATCCAGTTCACATACCTAACAATGTTAATATTGCATGGCAGTCCTTGGAACACTTGAAATGATCTCAAGGCACCCTAGTATACCATAGCACCCTGGGTGAGAATCAGTGATTTAAGGCTTGACCAACTCCCAATGAAAAAACACTCAGGATCACATGCTGTTCTTTCTTAGCTGTCCAGGTGTCCAGATTTGGTCATCTACATGGTTTTCTAAGAACTAAAAATGCCATTTATGTACAGCTTGGAATTAATCTCCTGGCCACTTAGCCCAGCATGCAGGGAAGGTTACATGTGTGCTCAAACTTGGCATAATTACTGGCAACAAAATGGGAGAGATTATTTTCCTTTAAATAGCTATGTGACTGAAGTATTCATTTGGGAAGCTGTAGGTCCTGTGTTCACCTCCCCCACCTCATCCATAGGTGTTAAGAAATTAAATTTCTATGGTTTCCCAGACTAATTACCACACCAAAGCCATTTTCCAGTCCCTTTTCTGGTGCTTCTTTCAAAGCTGCTCTCCTGGATAGTCATGAGTGGAAGATATGTACAAGATTTGTGGGGTCTGGATGAAAGGTATAAGCCAAAGGGTATGTAGGTCAGTGATTTAGATGCTGAGATGAAGGAAGAGATCCCTGGGTTTTAGAAGGGTGCTGGCTTCCATTAAAGCAGAAAGTTACCCCGTCTTATATTCATTTTTTCAATGGCTATATTGGTGTCTCAGCTTTAGAAAGAGCATTGGAGAAAGCACTGGCAAGTAGCTGACCCAAGTGATTGGAATCCTATGTTAGGAATTCAGAGGCACCCAGGCTCAAATCCCTGCTGGGCAAGAAGGGAAAGACCTAGGATCCAGGACTCCCAGGTGACTGCATTACCCCTTGAGGTGTGCAATAAGAATGAGGTGACCTGTCAATATATCCCTGTCATCTGTTCACCTGGTAGAGCAGGAGTGGGCAAAATGCTCTACCAGGGCCCAATGCAGCCCTCCAGGCCATTCCATCTGGCCTGTGGGACCCCTAAAAAATTTAGAAAATTAATATTTATCTGCCCCAGCTGCCTGTCATGTGGCCCTCGGTGGCTTGCCAAAACTCAGTAAGCGACCTGCCGCCCAAAATAATTGCCCGCCCCTGTGGTAGAGGGTGTAAAGCAGAATAATGATTATGTGTCTTTCCTCCCACATTCCTAATCTGTAGAAGAAATGGCTCTCTGTTTATCTAAGTTTCTGTGTGTGACAGACAGAGAAAGAATGGTTGGATATGGGTTTGGAGTATTTACTGGAGGAAAGGTTGCTATTGAGTTTGTCACTTAGTTGTGAGAAGGAGTAGCTCTATGGCAATTTTTATCTGTTGCAGGAACAGAAAAATAGTAGGACATGTCTCTCTCATCACTAGGGCCAAACATGAACATGGACTGGAATAGCAGGACCTAGGCCTTTGATTCTGTTGTCCGCAATGAATGGAGAGAGCCCTCAGGGATGTGTTGACTGAAAATTATTTTGCTAAGGGTGTGTCATTTTATACCTTAAGTGGATTTTTCAGGGTGACTAGAAAAGGTAGCAGTAGTCCTGCCTAGGAGGTCAGGATGAATGTGACAGATTTCACAGAGAAAGAGAGGAGGAAGGCCAGGAGGAAAGTGAGTTCGAAGTATGAGTCGCTGGTTGGTTATCAGAAGTGTTGGCTATAATGCTTTTATGGGTATTATCTCCTGTAAGAGCAGGTGAAAGGTGGAACACCTCTTTCACATTGCTAGGGTTGGTCCTGAGCACAGATCAGAATATCAGGAGAAAGATCTTGGACTGTATTTGACAACACAGAGAGAAGCACTCAGATTAAACTTGTCTTGCTATGCATGCAGCTAATTTATACCAGTAGCAAGTTTATTTTCCAAGTGGCCAATACGAGTAGCTGCAGTTCTAGCCAGGAAGTTGTGATGAATGTATATATTACATTGGGTGGGTTTCTGATAGTCTGGATGGGCTACCATCCCCATACCATTTGCAGGTGGTAGTGGGAGCTTTTGCTGCTTTAGTATTTTAGTACACAACAGCAGTACAGGGAGTCTCCTTTCCTGCCCCAGAGGAGAAGTCTACCAACACATGCTCCTCAAAAACCCTGACAAAGAATGATCACCGTAGACCAATGGTATTAACCTCAGAAAGAAGTCTCCACAACTCACAATGCAATGGAGACTCTTGGTTGATGGTCATTTTCTGCCTCAGTTACTGCAAATCTATGTCCTATTAATTGTCTTGTTCAGGTTGAGGATCTGTTAGTATCTTTGAGGAGAGGCTTTCAGTGTAATGAAGCAGTTGACACCTAACAGCAATGGCCAAACAGAGCAGTGGAACTGGGTTATAACTGTAACATGGACATTAAAGGAGTTGGGGTGTATGGAAATCAATTATTAATCTGAAGCACTGAGCAACCTGGGATTTGGCCTGCGTCTTCCCTTTTTCACTATCAATGCTTGTGTCTTTCTTAGGATGCCTTTGCCGCTTTCCACCCGAATAAAGCACTGGTGAAAACATATTTAAAACCACTGCAGGTTGGGGAGTTGGCACCAGATCAATCTACCTCTGAGCCCAGTAAAAATGTAAGTGTTTGGAGAACCAGCTGTGGGATGGGATGTGGGCTTCTATGCGGGAAAATGGAAAAATTAATGAACTGGCAGCTGTGTTCTCCAACATACTGTGCATCCAGCATTACATCACAGATGGGAGTGCTGAGGAGCCCACCCCAGGGAGGTAATGCATGGACAGATCTCAGGATCACAGAAATCTCCCCTAGGGTTGTGGGCATGTTACAGGGTCCCGTTCCCACCCCCCTGTTACTGGGATCTCACTCAGAACCCCTCACAGGCATATTCTCTAGGATGAAACAGTTACTGTGTATAGCAATAGCTGTCAATCATTGTACATCCCTTTTTGCTACAGAAACCCCTATTGGAGAAAAGGGATACCAAAGTGTTTCCCCTTTGTCTGGAGGCTATTTCTTAACTCCAGAGGTTGCTGTGCTGCCTAGAGAGTGCAGTAATGTTGTGTCTCTCCCCAGAAACTGCTGGTAGAGGACTTCCGTGAGCTGCGAGCCACTGTTGAGAAGATGGGTCTCCTGCAGCCTAATTACTTCTTTTTCTTCCTGATTTTCCTGCACATCCTGGTACTGGATGCTGCTTCCTGGCTCACTGTGTGGTACTTCGGTGCATCCTTAGTGCCTTTCCTTGTTGGTGCGGCCCTGTTCGCTACTGCACAGGTAAACTACCTGTCCCAGAACAATAGCTCAGGTGTTTTCTCTTTTTCAACATGCATGAGTCTAGTTACAAGGTTTTATAGCAGCTATTCCCCTGAAATTTCTTCTGCTGAGAGTCTGTCACCTGGCTGGTAGTAAGCAGACACTTCTGTCTTTGGCTAGACACCATTAACACCAGTGATACTTGTGAACTTAAGAAATAATACAAATTACTCACTGTAGTAGTAAGACTACTGTGAAGAGAAGTCCAAAAAATCATTTTCTATATGGTCAGGTTTCCCCTGTGTGATCTAGGGCCTTGCTATACATTTAAATTAAATGTGGATAGAAACCAACCATAAAGTTATTACGTATTTTCAAGCATTAATTTTGTAGTTGGTTGGCTTTTTTTTAAAGCTGAATGGACATTTTTATGGTGATATAATTACTTTGCTACATGTGGATGTTTTAAATTTATTGTGCAATTAACCAGTGAATTGCACAATATATATAACATGTGGCAGGGGTCTTAGGTCTAGTGTTCTAGCCCAGGGGTGGGCAAAATATGGCCTGCAGGCCAGATCCACCCTGCCAACTGACTGGATCCAGCTTGTGGCTGCCCCTGCAGTGCTCCATATGGGACCAAGCCCCATCCACTCCAGCTGGGGCAGCCCATGCCATGTTATTGCTGGCTTGGTCCCTGGCACAGCTTCTGCTGGGGTTGTTCCCAGTGTGACTGCAGCTGGCCAGGTGCTGCTCTGTTCCCCTCTCCTCCAGCAAGAGCTGGCTGGTTGAACCTTCCCCCTGCTCACCCACCCAGAACAGTACAGCAGGAGCAGGAGTGGGAAGGGGAGCTGCCACTGCAGGCAAGGGGAGCAAAGCAGCACCAGCCAGTTTCAGCTGCTTCAGGACCAGCCCCACTGGCAGCTGCACCCATTAGCTGGGACCTGGGCCAGCATTGCTGTTCTGCTTCTCTTGCTGGCAGCTGCAGCTGCTGCTTCTGCCCCTGCCCCTGCTGCACCGCTCTGGGTAGGCAGGGGGGAGGGAAGCTTCAGACGGGTGGATCCTACCCCAGCATGTGGAGTTCTGGCTCCAGCTCCCAGCTGTTTTGCACCTGTTCTGCCTGCCTGGTGCAACAAGCAGCCACCTGCAGGTGGGCAGAGCTGGTGTAAGGTGGCCAGGAACTGGACCTGGATTCCACCACACTGGGGCAGAAGCCACTAGGCTGAAGCTTTCCCCCCCACCCAGAGTGGCAAAGCAGGGGCAGGAGCGCAGCTGAAGCTGGAGACAAAGGAAGCAGAACAGCCCTGGTGGCTCAGACCCTAGCCAGCATGTGCGGTTTCTGGTGGGGCTGTTCCTGGTGTGGCTGTAGCCGACTGGGTGCTGCTCTGCTCCCCTCATCTCCAGCAGTGGCTCCTCCTCCATCTCATGCCACTGCTGTGCCACTGTAGGTGGAGGGGAAGATTCAGCCGGGTGGCTCCCACTGAAGGTGAGAGGAACAGAGCAGCATCTGGCTGGCTGCAGCCACACTGGGAACAGCTCTGCAAGAAGCTTCATGCTAGCCAGGGCCTGGACTAGGCCTGGGGCCAGCAGGTGTTGACTGGCTGCCCTGGGCAGGGCTCAGTCCTGTGCAGAGTGCTGCGGGGGGGAGCCACAGATGGGCTGAGCTCTGATCTACATGCCCACTGCCTCCCCCTCCCTCCCCTCATCCCTGAAATGACTCCCAGGCAGCCCCTCCCCATATACATATACCACCTCCGCACAGCTCCATATACCCCCCACCCTGCCACCCTTACCATAGGGCAGGGCATGCAGGGACCAAATCACAACTCCCCTGACCTTGAACACTGTTTCCCACCCACTGAAAGCCCCATAGGGAAAATTTTGGTGTGTTGTTGGAGGGGAGGGTTTTGGGGGGGGAAGAGGTGGGAGTGCTGACCTCGCTTGTGACAGCTCATCAAAACTTCCTATGTGGCCCTTGGGCCCAAATAATTGCCCACCTTGGCTCTAGCTTTCTTAACAGCATCTAGTTCTGGGAAGAGGTACAGCACCAATGTGTGGGGAAACTCACACCGTCGCTTATATTTCCATTCTGTTCTTTTGCAGACACAATTGAACTGGTTCCAACATGATGTTGGGCACTTTTCTGTCTTCAGAAGTACAAAATGGAGCCGGAGGTTTCATTTAGCCCTAGCTGCTCTGAAAGTAAGTGCTACTTCTCAGGAAGCTGTTTGATATTGAACATGATTGCTTAACAAATGAGATAAGCTCTAGATTGAGGTAACATTTTTGTGAGGGTGTGTGCTCTAAACGTAGCAAGGAGGGGGATGTGCCGTATCTCTTGGACAAATGGATAAATCATGGATAAATGTCTTGATAACATGGTACTGTAGTTTGACTTCTTTCTTCCCACAGGGGTTTTCACCCAGCTGGTGGAATCACCTGCACAATCAACACCATGCCAAACCCAACTGCTTTCGCAAAGACCCTGATCTTGGTTTCCACCCTGTCTTATTCAGCTTTGGGAAGATACTCTCCACAGAGGTGAGTGTTGGCAATGTTTGGAAGTAACACAGGATAACAAAAAGATCTATTTGAATGGGAATATATATGGGGCTGGGAGGACTCCAAGACTGGGAAGTATATCATCTTAGGCCACTGGCACTTGTTAAATTTATCATGGGATAGAATCTGATCTCAACAAGCACATATCTTACCATGCTACACATGCAAGGTGCCAGGCGTAGGGTTTAAAGTCCCTGGCAGGGCAATCCCTTTGGCTTCCCCCACTGGGAGCCTCTGATCCCCTGCACCCAGTTGGAGACTTGGGGCTGCCTTCTGGGTTGGTGCTGCCAATCAGATGATCATCCTTATCAGCCCTGGAGCAGTCCCCAGCCAATTGGAGATGTGAAATGGCTCCAGGCTGGGAGAGCCAGCACTGTCTAGAGCTAATTTCAACAATCAGCTGATTGTTGGACATTGGGTCAACACAGCCCTAGTATATGGACATGTCACACATTTAATTTAGGGTGCCATGCAAACCCTAGTATATGGACATGTCACACATTTAATTCAGGGTGCCATGCAACCCATCCATAAAAATGTTGTACATTATATGTGGAACATTTTTATGGCTAATTTGCCATTTTATGGTGCCTTAAATTGGGTGCATATGCAGCAGCATTGTAATTTGTAGTGCAATTAACACCTTAATTGTGCCATACATATAACATGTGCCAGGGCCCCTCATGTGATCAATATTACACTGGAAGGGAGTAGGTTTTGTGTCTTGGAATGGCTTTTCTGCATCTAAAATTCATTGGATAAAATGGATGAACAGCAGGGACATAGTTTCTGCCTCAGTGCCCCTTCCCTTCTGGAGCAGTCTCCATCTCACTGAGCCACCTACCCTCTAATTTGTTTTTTGTCTCCTGGATGCCTACTGGGACAACTTTAAGGGCAGTCCTGGTCTGTGTTCTCTAGAACTAGTATTCTAGGGCTTGCACCAGAGCATTTTGCTAGAAGGGGGAAAGGGAAGGGCTAAAATCTTAAGGCCAGATTCCATTCAACTTACTAGGCACAAAAGTAAACTTATATACCTAGGTGTGATTCTATTCCATGCTGTTTACCATCATCTAACCCTTAACACTGAGTCACAACAAAAAAAAAGCAGTAAGGTGGAGTAGGAACCTTTGTGTATTCACAGTTTCTCAGGAATTCAAGCAGGGTGGAATAGGTTGAAACTTAGGAAATAAACAGATGTCACCAAAGGAAGCAGATCAGTTGTGTCAGGATATGTCCCAACATAGCTTTGTTGGGATCCACTTTGTTGGGTGAGACAGACATTGCCTGTTGTTCTGTGAAATCAGGCCCCAGCAAATAGCATAATACTGGTGAAGCTGAGAATACTTTAGAATACTTTCCTTCAAGAGAACGATTAAGCAATAAACTCAGACACAAATATGAAAATGTTCTGTACCTGTCACCTCCAGCTTTTTGAGATGTTTGGGCTTCTCTCACTCAGCTGCCTTTCCGTGACCTCTGCATGTGTGTGCAGAGTCACAAGGGATGAAATAAAATCCATATCTCCTCCCTTCTAATTCTCTACTTTTTGGATTTTAAAAAATCCTTCCTCTCAGGATGAATGCAGGAGAAACTGCTGAGAGATTGATTTCTGGTATTGTTTAAATAGGGTTGGGAAATGCCTGATAAAGCTTTTTAGTAATCCAGCTCACCTATTATGCCTTCCTCTCCTTTTTTAGTTGGGGAAAAAGAAGAAAAAGTTCATGCCTTATAACCATCAGCACAAGTATTTTGGCTGTGAGTATCTCCAAGCTTCCTGGCAGTGCCATGGGGCTTTCACCCAACAGTAGCTACAACTTCTCATCCCTGTCTTTATGTCCCTTAAGGGACAGAGAAAGGATAGTCTGTTCCACATTGTAGTCTGGTGGATGATCATGGTGTTTAGGAAACTAGCCACCAATTGTCAGGATTTCCAGCTGGTGTGTGTCTGTTGAAAATAAAAGATATCACATCTACTTGAAGAACCTTGCCTGCCTGTTGAAAATGATGCATGTGGTAACAGCTAAAGTGCAGCAGGCATAAAATGGGGGGATATACAAGGAAAGAAGATCAGCTGAGGAAAGAAAGAGTTGAGATAGGAAGAAGCATGGAGTAAGATAAACAATATAGAAACCTGGAGCAAAGTGATGAAATCACCCTTGTCTTTATGCCACACTGAAAATCCCACATCAGAAAGATCTCTTCCTTTTATTTTTCTAGATTTCTGCACAGTTTGTGACCCAGTAAGACTGTTAATGTGTTTCTGTTTTGTTTTGCTTTGTTTTCCTCAGTTTTGGCTCCATTCGCAATAATTCCCTTTTTCCAGCTTGCTTTAATCTATTTTGCAACCAAGCACAAAAAGTGGTTTGTAAGTATTCTTAGCATTACTCAGAAACCTTTGCAAAATATAATCACAGTTTTCCCTGTCCCCAATGTATCAATTCTGTCATCAAAGCACTGAGATAGAATATATTCAGTATTCACTTGCAGAGTTTCCTCAGCATCTTAACCCAGTTTAATTCTTTCAAAAGGGGATTGGACTAATTCTTGGAGGAAAGATCCCTCAGTAGGTGTTGAATATGGTAGGTGGAAGTGCAGCTTCTGGACCAGAACTGCCGAAACCTCTGAATGCTGGAAACTGCAGTTGGAGAGGAACAAGGAGTGAAAAATTCTGGCCATGCCCTGTTCACCCATCTCCTTCGCATCTGCTCTTTGCAACTGTATGAGCCAGGGTACTGGGCTTGATGGACCCATGGACCAACCCAGTAAACATGAACGCTGCGTGCCCTTGCAGGCTGGGGGTCACGGTGACCGCCCGCAGGTGTCGGCGATGGTGTCAGCGGCAGGGGCATGACAGTGGCGAGGGGGGAGCTCCCTCAGGCTGCCGCAGCGATGTCAGCAGTGCAGGCAGGTTTTGCAGGGAGCTCCCACGGGTGGCCGCAGTGATGTCAGCAGTGGGGGCGGGGGGTGGCGAACACCGATTGGTAGTCAGCGTCCACCCGCAGATGCCGTCAGCAGTGTCAGGAATGAGAGGGGGAAGGGGGCAGGTGCTGCCGGCAGTATCAGCAGCACTTTTTGCAGGGGGTGCACCGCCAAGCTCAGGGGGTGCATGTGCACCCGCGCACACCCACTATGCATTGCCAATGCCAGTAAATGGCAGTTCTTATGTATTTTTAGTCTTCAGGTATTTGCCCCTCAGCCAAGTGAATGGTGAAGGATGGGAGCTACCATGTGCGGGATGACTTGAAATCACAAAAGTATTTGCTTTGCCATGTGAAATTTCTGGGCAAAATTTATGTTGATTTAGATAGGTGGAGTAATAGACATGGGGCATAACAGAAGAAGACTTTCTTAGGATGGTTTAATTTGGGGTGATCCTGCCTTGAGAAAAGGATCAGTCCTTTCCAGCTCTCCTTTTCTATGATTTTATAACTCAGTGATTTATTTTTGTTGCTCCATTTTGGCTGGAGCACAGAGTGGTAGGGGAGTGTAGTACTATAAGCAGTCTTTTGTGTGAAGCCTTCTTTGCATCTCTATGACAGGAGCTGTTCTTGACAGTGACTTATAACATTCGAATCTTTCTCATGTACGTGCCCCTAATGGGATTAAAGACCTTCATGGTGTACTACTTGTTTGCCAGGTAATATTCACTGGGCTCACTGTCTCTCTGGCCCTTGTCCATTCCCTGCTTTTTGCCAGTATTTGCAGATTTCAGCACAGGCAGGAATAATAAAAATATAGTTACATTGCCAATTTCTAAGTAACTGTAGTCAAGCAGGAAAAAGAAGGGTATCATTATGGGAAAATCTGTGAGATCCTCTGCTAAAAAGTACAATGATGCTAAAATACTGGGATGCAGAAGTGATGGGATGGAAAATACAGAAATAATATCTTGTGAGTTTGGGTGGGAGACTTGTTACCAGGACATTACCAAGTTGGCCTTTAAGAACTTTTACAGGAAAATCATTAGTTTCCCCAGGCAACATAGTGGGTCTCTTTAAAGTAGATTGTGGATAATGACTGTGTTTATGTATGTATATATTTGTGTGCTCAGATACATAGAGGCTTCCTGGTTTATCTGGATTTCACAAATGAACCACATCCCAATGCACATTGATTATGATCGGAACTTGGACTGGGTATCTACCCAGGTAAGATCTTGTCCACTGCTGGAAGCTTGGGGTCTGGGGTTGTGAAGCTGAAGGACTCCTTTTCTAGGAGTTATAACCCTAAATTGGGTTGGGGGTTTCTTCTTGTGACACAGATGGAAAATTATAAATGGCACTCAGGTGTACAGCTGAGTCCTGACAAAAGGCTTTTAAAGAACTGCTTGGAAAATAGATCTTCTGTTGGCAAAACAAATCAGATTTCTTTGTCTTTTTTTTCACTGATAAAAAGTTTGCCGCAAAATTTCCTTGACTTATGTTAAATATAGCCCTTCAAGTTATAATCACTCTTGAGATTAAGGAGACGAAATTAAGGAGAAGAACAGAGATAGATCTATAATGGAATATTATGATAAAATATTTTTAGGAGAAGATATGAGATACTTAAATGGGCATAACTGTGCACTAGGGCACTCTAATTACATTTGTTTCTAAGTAAATATAGTTATACTATGGGATATAGTTATACTATGTACAAACAAGCCCAGTTAGTTCTGTTCTCATGGAAAGATTTGAAAGAAACCAGAAAAATAGTTTGTGATTTATCAATGTTCATTTCTCCTATCCATTCAAATGGGAGATATGGGTAAAGTATCTTTAGGGAAGCTTAGGCACTGGTTTATGTGGATCCCAAAAGAAAAACTATTTTGTTATTTCCAGTTGAATCAAGAATTTTTCACATCAATTGCTTGAAGTTGCAGCAAAGTAGGTTTAGCTTAGATATCAGGAAAAACATCGTCACCATTAGAATAGTGAGTCAGTGGAATAAACTACATAGGGAAATGGTGGAAACTCCATCACTGGCATTTTCAAGAGGTTGAACAAGCATTGGCCAGGGAGGAGAATTAGTTATAGCTTGAGTTCTCTGTAAAGAGCAACAGTTGGAGGCCCAGGAGCCTTGCAATTCCCATCCCCACAGGTTGCTGGATATTGGAGAGACAGTGTTCAGCAATGGGAGAATGAAGCAGAGCTTCACAACTGTTTTAGTTATGAAAGATGATTAGAGCAGCTGGGATAAATTTAAGTAATGGATATAGGAAGTGAAGTTCTGTTTATCAAGTTAGAGGGTGTGATGCGTAGAGTTATGCTTGCTGTCCCTACATTGCAAAGCAGTGGAGAATGTTTGTTTTTTCCCATGGTTCTGGGCTTTGTCTGTTACTCTGTGGACTAGATGACTGACATACGGCCTGCCCATGGGCTGAACTGATCCAATGGACCCATGAAACTCAGATTCAGCATGTGTCCCAGAGCAGTCAGGGTGGATGGCATGTACAGCACAGATGCCAAAACAGTTCAAATGGGTTTTGCAGGTGGTGCAGTGCAGTGTAGGCAGGTGCTATTAGAGCAGCTGGAGTGTGCATGCTACTGGTGGCACTCACCGTTGCTGGACTGCACTACACATGGCACCCATTCCAGCTGCTCTGGGGCCTGTGTTGTATATGGTGTGCCCAGCAGCTGGTCTGGGACTATGCCTCACATGGTACCTTCTCCAGCCACCCTGGGGCCTGCACTCCATGTGGTACCTGTGGACATCACATATATTTTGGGTCCCAGACTGGCTGGAGCAGACACACTTCCTGGTGTTCATCCTGGAATGGCAGAATGGGTGCTGTGTGCAGTGCACATCCTGGGCCTCGCCCTCAGGTGAACCAGTTCAAACTCAGTGACAGCACTGGGGGCCAGATGATGGGGCCCTGCAGACCAGATGTGGCCTGTGGGTCATACGCTTGACAATCCTGGATTAGATGAGTTCTGAGATCCCTTCAAGCCCTACTTCTCTATAATTCTACATAAGGCAATACTTATCCCACATTCCAGGATACTACTCACATTCAGACCTCATTTCATCTTTAGGTAAATGATACCCATGATTCTCAGCAAAGGTAACTGCTTCGGCTAGACAAAAATGAAAATTTTTTTTTTTTTGCATACTTATGAAAAACAGAACATACTTTTCTTTCCATTTTTCTTTTTCAGCTCGAAGCAACATGCAATGTGCATCAGTCCTTGTTCAATGACTGGTTCACTGGGCACCTGGACTTCCAAATTGAGCACCAGTGAGTATGGGTATGGGGAGAAGAGTGAGCATATCAGGGGATCCCTCTGAGTATAAGAAAGAGGAAGTCCTTCCAGGCTTCATATGAGGCACTGTAACCATACAGGTACCAATCAGTTTGGTAACATGAAGAGAGAGGGGATCCTTATGGGACAGGGAGGCAGGAGGGAGCAAAATCCAGTGGGCATTTTTACTTGTGCTCTGGGATGCTGCACCAGGTGCTTTAATTAGCAAGCTGTGCTAATTAAAAGGCCTGCATGTCACGTGTATCATCGTCCCTGCATGTCCCCGTGCTGAAAAAATGGCAGCAGGATGCTTTGAACTAAAGCTCATTGAACATGTTTTATTTCAAAGTAGTGCCTTGTCACCATTTTTTCAGTGCAGGATGCATGGGGATACTGATACATGTGACACAGAAGGCTGACAATTTCTGTGCTCTAACAGACTCAATTAATTGAGTCTGCTCTAACATCCTGGATTTCCAGCGTGTCAGAGTAGGCGCCACGCACATATGTAGGAGCCCTTTGTGACCTGCCTTTCTTTCTCTCGTCACAGCCTTTTCCCCACAATGCCTCGACATAACTTGTGGAAGGCAGCCCCCTTGGTGAAATCTCTCTGCACCAAGCATGGCATTGAGTACAAAACCAAGACCTTGCTCACTGCCCTTGCAGACATTTTGCGGTAAGTGACAAGAGAATGGGTTTGCACACTAGTGTACAGCTAGGCAGGGATACAGCCTACAGTAGAGGAGAAGTTTGAGAAAAGATTAGAGATATGGGTCTGCAGAAATATGTAAGGTAAATATGGGGTTCAATAGCTCAGGGTATTAGAGCATGAAGAGTATTGGAGTATATTGGAGTTTTTCACCAGATGCTGTCTAGTCACATACTTCTCTTATATGCAACCCTTCCAAAATATGAACAAATACCTGAAACTGCCCAGAACTATAAAAGGAATATCAGATTTATCCATATACACTTTAAGAGGAAGGCCTGTGTGAGTAGCAAGGTCAGAGAATTAACCTTTGTGAAACTTTGTAAATTCTGAGATCTAGTTCAGTAAATGCTCATGCAAATGAACATCAAGGTATTTAACCTACATTCTCAGCCCAAATCCAGGCAAAATGAAGCATTTTTAATGGAGCCTATTTGTCCCTTTTCATATATTCACTCAAAAATACCATGAATGTCACAGTCACAAATGAATGACAGTTCCCAGAGCCAATGGCAAACACAAGAAACCTAACAGTAGAGGTATGAGGACCAAATACAAAGTAGTACAACAGAAGGATGAGAAAATTGAAAAGGAGTACATTCTTTAATCCTTTGTTGATCTACATAGGAGGATGAATTAAAAGAAAGACAGAAGACTGATTAGTTTGTTTTCATTGTTTCTTTGATTTGATACAAAAATTAATAAATTATAACTTGCCCCAAAAAAGGCTGTTTTTCCCCCATGGGAACTGTTTTGGTTTTAACCTATACAACCAGCTGTAATGAAAATATTCTATTATGGATTCTTTCCTGCCTATCATAATTATTTTCATTATTATTTATACCATGTAAAAGGCCCCAGTTCTGCAAGCAGGCATGTGTTTAGCTTCAATACTGCCAATAGATCCAGTAACAAATTTAAGCAAATAAGTAAGAGGATGAGACCCCAAGGTATGAGGAGTCTGGGAATCTTTCTTATAATAATGTAGCCATAGCTGGATGAAGAATGTAAGTGACTTTAACTGCTATGCAGACAGAAAATAACCATTCATATTCCTCCACACTCTCTTGCTCCATTTTCCCCCAATTATGTGGGCTCCTTCTATCTGTCTTCTCTTGTCTGTCCAAGTAGTCTACTGCACCTCTGTCTATCTGGTGACTCCTCACATCCAAGTCCCTTCTCATTCCATCTCTGCCATCAACTCCCTCAACCCCCTTGGCTCAGTGTCATGGCATGTTTTTTTCAGGGAATCTATGACCCCCCCCCCCCATCAAAGAAGACTTTCCTACTTCTTGTCCCTTAAACTCCTTTTTCTTTTCAGTGCTTCTTCATTTTCTCATGTTGACAACCTTTAGATGCCTCTCTTGCTCCTGATTTTCAGTCCATCCCTCCCACCTCACTCTCTTTCCAAGGGTGCTTCTTTCACAAGGCTAGTTTGCCATCTCTCACTCCACTTTCTCCATTGAGACCACTTAGCAGATTACCACCTTTTCATCTTTTCACTGCCTATGATGAACTGAGCTTATTACTCTTGTCTTTACAGCACCTTGAAAGATTCTGGGGAACACTGGCTTGAGGCCTATCTGCATGGATAAGAAACATACAACGCAACATTTCTCCATGTAAGCTACCATAAAAAACTACACAGCAGACCACTGGATCTCAAGGATAGACTTGTGCTTTGCTAGGGAGCAAGGGAGATGCTTTATTTCAGTATGAATGTGGACTTTCAAGATATTTCTCCTAGCTCTGAAACTGATACTTCATCTGCTGCTTTCTGTGGCTGTGTTTAGGGACATGATGAATCAGTAGGCTATTTGAGCTGAGCCTTGTAGAAAAGGGGCTTTATAAATAATAAGAAAAGACTCTCTTTATCTCTCTACTAATATGTTACTTGCTGTGAATACAAGAGAGAGACCAGGCTGACTCTTTCCGTGAGTGACAGAGTTTTAAGGAAGTTTAAGGCAAGAATTCTTCTGGGTGCTAGCTTTTATTAGACTAACTTCATGGGTCGGATAGACACAGACAGACTTTCTGGTATCAGCTGAGGAAGACCTGAAGAAGTGCACTGTGGTATTCAAAGGCTTGTCACATCTCTCTCAACCATGTCATTGGTCCAATAAAAGATAGAACCCTCAAGAAGTCTTGCCTCTTACACATGGACCATCACAACAACATCATTTCAGAACAAGGAAGCTTAAGTATTTCTGAATTGCTTTACCTTGGGAAATAATGTGCAGGAGAAAACTAACTGTACTGAAAAAGAAGAAATGATGGTGGTGGAAAAATGGAAAAGGAAATATTCAAGGAGTTCATCTATTTGTTGTAAATTAAACACAGGAAAAATGGGGGAAATAAACTCACACAGAGGGATAAAGAAGCTAAATCACTAGGACCGTGTACAGTGTCCATTATTTTACTGTAGTTATCCTAATGTGTTTTAGAGATTCTCTCTTAACAAATCATGTGTGATAGTCTTTATTTATTTTCTGATGAGACTCATTATAAATATTTTAGTGAACATTATACTATTGGAAAAATAGGAAGATATGCAGAGGATACCTAGAAGTGGTCATGTCTACATGAGATGCTGACTGTACAATAGACCATGACTATTGTGCAGTACTGTTGGAGGTCAGGAAGCGTGATGCAACCAGTTCACAGCAGTCACAAGCTAGTCAGTGTCACAAAAGAGCACTTCCTTGGTGTGACTGTGCAGCAACTCCAGTTACCGCACAGTCATGTAGTACTTATTTATAGAAGTACTAAATGACTGCTCAGTAATGACTGCACAGTTAGTGTCTCATGTAGACATGGCCGGTAAGTCCTTTATATGTAAATGTAAATGTAAATGTAACCAACCACCAACTTTAAAAAGTAAGTATTATGGATTGTTGTTGTTTAGCATTTCCTGAACAACATGTATGATCTTTCAGATTCAGATATGTTATGCATGTTCAGATGATTTCTCTGTCACAGGAAAAATAGTGTGGAATTATACCTGTATGGCTGTTAGCAGATGATCCATTTACTGCACAATTAGTGTGTTAATCATGCAATAAATTGTTACATGCCATACATTCAAATAATTTATGGCACCATCAAATTCTAAGCAGTCACAAATGCTCTTAGTTAAAATATTGTAAGTAGTTGATGCTAGCTATTAATATTAAGTTATGAAATTGTGAATGTAGAATAGAAGAAAGTGGGTTGGGTGGATGTTTTCTCAGTGCATGCTTGGATTCATACAAATGTAACTCACTCATGGTTTTCCTATTGAAAAGAAAAGGGTAAATAAATACATTAATGGGTTGTTAAAAGAGAATAATTCATGTGACTCCTGGTTTTTGTGAAACTATTTGCAAACCTCTGAGCTGTTTCTGAGCTGTTGATGAGCACCAGATGTTGATGAGGACCGCGAGGACACTAGTACACTGATCCTGCCCCCACCCCTGACGGTGACCATGCATGGATGCAGCTGCCCCACCATGCCCAAGCATTAGCATCATAATACATAGTTTCATAGTTGGTAGGGTCGGAAGGGACCTGATCAGAAGATCATCAAGTCTGACCCCCTGCCGTGGCAGGAAAGAATGCTGGGGTCAAACGACCCCGGAAAGGTGTTTATCTAGCCTCCTTTTAAAGACCCCCAGGGTAGGAGTGAGCACCACTTCCCTTGGAAGTTGGTTCCAGATCCTAGCCACCCTGACTGTGAAGTAGCGCCTTCTGATATCTAGCCTGAATCTACTCTCCATCAACGTATGGCCGTTATTCCTTGTTACTCCCGGTAGTGCTTGGGGAAACAGGGTCTCTCCCATTGCCTGCTGGTCCCCCTTGGCCAGTTCATAGATGGCCACCAGATCCCCTCTCATCCTTCTTTTGTGGAGGCTGAACAGGTTCAGGTCCCGTAGCCTTCCGTTGTATGACCTGCCTTGCTGCTCCCTGATCATGCGAGTGGCCCTCCTCTGCCCTCTCGATGCTGGCCACATCCCTCCTGAAGTGCAGCGCCCAGAACTGGATGCAGTACTCCAACTGCGGCCTGACCAATGTCGCATAGAGGGGGAGGATCAACTCCTTGGCCCTGCTTGTGATGCATCTGTGGATGCATGACAAGGTGTGGTTAGCCTTCCTGACCGCGTCCTCATATTGGCGGCCCATGTTCATCTTGGAGTCAATAATGACTCCAAGATCCTTTTCTGCCTCTGTGCTGATGAGAAGGGAGTCCCCCAGCCTGTAGGAATGCTGTTAGTTCTTCCTCCCCAGGTGCAGTACCTTGCACTTGTCCATATTGAAACCCATCCTGTTCTCATCCGCCTACTCCTTTAATCTGTCCAGATCTAATTGCAGCCTGACCCTCTCCTCTAGTGTGTCCACTTCTCCCCACATCTTAGTATCATCCGTGAATTTGAACAAGGTGCTTTTCACCCCCTTGTCCAAGTCGCTGTTGAAGATGTTGAACAGTACAGACCTGAGGACCGAGCCCTGGGGGACCCCACTGCCCACATCTCTCCAGGTCGAAAATGAGCTGTCCACCACCACTCTCTGGGTGCAGCCCTCCAGCCAATTAGCAACCTATCTGACTGTGTAGGCATCGACATCACCTATGAACATGAGCCACCACTGCCAGACTGCAGCCAGCAAGGCCAACCATACCTTGTCATGCATCCAAAGGTGCATCTCAAGCCAGTCCAGAGAGGGGATACTCCCCCTCTATGCAACTTTGGTCAGGCCACAGTTGGAGTACTGTGTCCAGTACTGGGCGCTGCACTTCAAAAGGGATGTGGCCAGCCTGGAGAGGGGTCAGAGGAGGGCCACCTGCTTGGTGAGAGGGCAGCAGGACAGGCCCTACAAGGAGAGACTGAAGGACCTGAACCTGTTCAGCCTCAGCAAGAGGAGGCTGAGGGGAGAACCGGTGGCTGCCTACAAGCTCATCAGGGGGGATCAACAGCAAATAGGCAGAGCTCTTTTCTCCCCAGCACTACCTGGGGTGACGAGGAACAATGGTCATAAGCTGATGGAGAATAGGTTTAGGTTGGAGATCAGGAGACAATATTTGACAGTTAGGGTGGCCAAAATTTGGAACCAACTTCCCAGGGAGGTGGTCTTTGCCCCTACCTTGGGCAAATTCAAGAGGAGTTTGGACGATCACCTGTCTGGGGTCTTGTGAACCCAGCATTTATTCCTGCCTGTGGCAGGGGGGCAGGCTAGATGGTCTGTTCAGGGCCCTCCTGACCCTAGGTACTATGAAACTATGAAACTACTATGAAACACCTAATTTCTTAATGAGAATGGGGTGAAAAACAGTGTCAAAGGCCTTTCCAAATTCCAGAAAGACTATGTGCACCGCGACACCAGCGTCTAAGGATTTTGTGACCCGGTTGTAGAAGGGCCACCAGGTTGGTCTGACAGGACCTGCTTCTAATGAACCCATGTTGGTTGCCCCTAAGCATAATCTCCCCTGCTGGTCGCTCACAGATGTGCACCTGGTTAACTTTCTCAAAGAGCTTCCCCACGGAAGAGTTGCTAATTGCCCTCTTTCAAATATTAAGGAAGGCTTTCCCATGCCTCCCGCAGTATTGCAGCAGGCTCGCCAGGATTGCTGCACATTGTGATTGGGGATAACACAAGCATTGGACACGTATTCAACCTCCCATAACAGTCCACCCTGCAACTCTTTCCAGTAATAACATCACTCCATAAAAAAACCCCAAGCAAAGGATCTCTATGCTGGCTGAGGGGGCTGGTGTGGTCATCACCTTTCCCAACCCACCACACTCAGCACCAAACCACACAGAATCCCATGCATGCCAATCTGCCTATGAAAGAAAATATGCCACACATATAGACAAAAATTCAAAGCTTTATTTAAAAATGCGGTGCATTTACATGATTTTTTAAAATCAAAACAGGCATAAAAAAATAGTATTTAAATAATAAATAAATTAAAGAACATTTAAAAACAAACAAAAAAGAGAATAGAAATATAGTCGAAAAGAGTCAGGATTTTCCTCCCCAGAACCTGTACAGCATTGTTTAAAACACTATTATATTATGATATTATTATACACTATCTATATACTATCTGTACACTAACTATACACTATTTCCTATAATCCTATAATTCTATACAATATCTATCTATCTATCTATCTATACACTATTTAAATATAGATTATTTTCTATAGGACACTACACGGTATACTAAATAACTTGCTTCTTCCTTATTCATGCTTTTTCCATATTGGTCCTCTGTGATTTCCAACCGTGAAAGTTTTCCATTGGGTGGGGAGGAGGAGAAACAAGAAGAGGAGGGGGTTTTTGACCATGTGGCAGGACAGTGTAGGTGCCTGCCACTTTAAAGGCCTGAAGCTAGCAGCTGACAGGTGCCTGATGGGGGCAGCCATTTTGGACCTAAGGCTGCCCATATAAACAGGGCAGTTTTGCTGCTGGAGGTAAGGCAACAACATTGTTTAGCTGTAGAGCTGCTGGTATCATCTGGAGGTAAGGGAAGAGCTGTAGGGGATGGCCATTGGAGGTAGTTGTGGGGGTGCAAGCCCTGAGGAGGATAGTGGGGGCCAGGTATGGCTGAGGCTGTCTGAGCCCTGTGGGGGTGCAAGACCCTGAGAGGGCCAGGTACAGCTGTGGCCACCCCCCCCCACCTGGAGTCCCAGGTGAGGGGTGGTGTGCTAGCCCAAAGGGAGGGGCAGAGTTGTGGAGCCCCAGTGAAGGGGGTTGGGATCAGTAGCCCCAGGTGAGGGGCGGTGTGCTAGCCCCCAGTAAGGGGCAGAGATCTGGAGCCCTAAGTGGAGGGGAGTGATGTGGAGTGGAGCCCCAAGCAAGGGGAATAGGCCCAGGTAAGTCTCCGGATGCCTGAGGCTGGGGTTTGGGCCAGGGTCTGAGTGAATGGAGGCTCAGCCCCAGAGTGGGAGAGGTGAGTCCTGGCCACAGTAAGTCCTCCACTGCTGGGAGGCAGAGCGTGGGTCAAATGTAACATCTGTAGTAGCACCATGACCTGCTGCCGAAGCGGGGGGGAGTGAGTCTCCCCTGTGAGATCCTGGGGCACCAATCATGAGGTACCTTAGCTCCCCACATCCAGGAAGGGGGATCCAGAGAGAGTGTGGGCTAGTGAGGCCGAAAGTAGAGTGCCCGCTCGACTGGCCCATGCTGGGGCCAGGACTAAGAAGGTCAAAAGGTCCAGGTGCCCACCGCAAGGGGTACCCAGAGTTGTGGGCCTGGGACTCTGCCTGGCCTTTGAGGTGAGGCCAGGGCCTGTGTATGGCTGAAGGTCCTGAGTAGGGACCATGCCCAAGAGGGGAGCCAGCTATGTGGCGTTCGGCAGCCCAGATGAAGGCAGCATAGGCTGCTGGAGTGGGGGGACCAAAGGAGGGTCCTATGAGGAGGATTCTGGAGCCCAGCATGGGGCTGGTGTGCTTGTTACATCTGGATGCCATCTGTGAGGCTTGGGCTGCAGTGTAGGGGAGGAACGGAGTTGCAGATAGCATCCCCTGGCATTGGGGTAAGAAATGGGCAGCCTCCCACCTTATTTAACAACTTATTAATTTCCAATAAGTCGTGGCAGGTGAGACAGGTGAGCAGTGTGCCCGGAGGTAGGTGGGAGGCCGGCGATGGCTGGTCTGAGAGAAGCCCACTTTACATCAGACCACAGTCCAAAAACTGCCCTCTTGCCCTCCAGCCTCTCTGCTCCCCTGCACAAGGTCACTGGGACATTTCTGATATTACCTATATATCATCCAGGATGCTGCATAACCTGGGGAATGGGTCTGGCAGGCAGTGTCCGCCTGGACTATTCATTGTGGTTCTGGAATGGTAATGTCAATTATAAGGAATTGGAAGGTTTGAAATATTGAAGTCTTAGGGTACCACGCACCAAACACAGTTGAAAACTTACCATTCTGGTGATGCCATCACTGTGCTCAGCAGTTATGAGCACCACAGTGGGGACAGTGGGAGGGGGATATGAGTG